GGGTGTGCGTGTGTGCGTTCATAGGGGTGAGTGTATGCGCGTGTATATGAACGCTTGTCTCTGTACTGATGCTCAAAAAAAAGTTTAGATACAAAAATAATAGAAAGGAGAAAAACAAAAAAAATCGCAGGGAATCTCCTTGTTGCAAGATCTCACACATAATGAATGATATTCGTAGGAAATCACCGTGCAATATCTCAAATAATGATATTCTCAGGAAATCTCCGTGCAAGATCTCATAAATATAGCATCGACTAAGACATAACCATGTATAAGTGGACTGAGATTTAGCAAAACAGTAATAAAAGTGCAGTGAACAACATAACATATATCCAACCACTACTGAATAAACCATCTCCAACTACAGGCTCTTAGCAACTACTAGGACTCAACAGAGGCTAGCAGTTGCTGGGACCCATAAAAAAAGAACTCGGCAAATAAAATAAACTCGGCTTATACGACGTATGCCGTGTTCTAGACTAATATTACACGGCAAAGTTGGTGCCACGTGGCATTCACAGCTGTCATGTCTGCTCTAACATGGCGATTCCATTTTGCCGAGACCATCAATGCTGTGTGTCGGTGTAGAGTTTCCGTAAACATTTTTTATATTGTGATAAAGCACTGACGAGATGAAAGCATACGATCTTGGCAAATATCACATGTCAGCAAATACTTTGCAGCTCCTTTTTATTGAGATGAACCAGAGTCTGACAGGTGTCTTTTATGTCAAGTGCTCCTGCCCTCGGCAAATATTTAGCAATTCGTTTTGCTCGTGATGTACCATAGGCTGGCATGCGTCATTATGGCCGAGAGCTCCGGCTCTTGGCGAATGTTTTGCATTTCTTTTTTGTTGCGATGTACCAGAGGCTGACTTGTGTCCCTGTTGTTGAGTTTGGTTCTCGGTAAATATACATTTGCATAGTGTAATTCTCGATAAAAGGAGTAGGGCATGTTTTTATGTTTGAATAGAAGTAGCCCTACAATTTAGAACAAATTTGTATGTATGGCATAGGAGAGATGCGTAAGTAACATAGGAAGTCCACATAAGAGGTGGAAGAGGAGGCGTAGAATATCAACTCCATTGAGATGAGCTGTACCACTGAGGAGGAGGAGGTGCCCTCCTAACATCAGTCGGTAAATTAGTGTACTTAGTTTTGTTTGGATTGTAGCAAAGAATTTGATTGGATAATATTGGTGTCTGTAATGGGAAAGTAACTAACCTTGAATTGTTCCTAGAACTGTGCATTGTGAAGCTCTCTTTCGGACATTTCTTGCTGCAGGGCTGCCGCCTGTAGTACTCTGCGTTCATCACTTTGCCTATTTTCTTCCACCAGCTCGGCCTGTATACATGGGTATGAGATGTACAAACCTGGAGCCATATATCTGTCTCAGTTTACCCCTCTATCACCCCATGTCCATCACCCCCCCCGTCATGTTAGGGAGAGCATTTCAACAAGGAGTTCGATCAAAGATGGGTGTCGATAACGTTGTCTGCCTTCTCAGTTTCCCTCCCATCCCCAC